CTCTGGAATCGAACCTGCAATCCACAGTCAAGAAGCCCTGTTTAATACTGCAGAAGTGTAGTGTTTTACAGAGCACAAGCAGCTGGACTGAGAGAGACACACAGCTCAAAAGAGAGGCAGAGAGACATCACAGAGACTGACAAGGAGGAAGAAAAAGACAGGAAAGAGCTCCTCACCTCCATCCCGTCTTCCAACTATCTGCCCCTGGCCAGCCTGGAAAACACAGTCAAGAGCGCTCAACATCAGTCCCAACACCACACCTGCCTCTTGACTGTCTGCTTGTGGACATCCTGGAAAATTAGGGAAAAGAACTCAGGACAGGGTTCAAATTAGGGAAAAAGACAGGAGAGAGCATCAACCTCCATCCCAACTCCTCCTCCATACCCGTCTTCCCATTGTCTGCCACTGGACTTTCTGGAAAACCATAGAAATGAACACAGGACTGAGCATCAACCTCCATCCACACTGGTCTTCCCACTGGCTGCCCCTGCACTGGAGTCCATCTTGACCTCTGACCCCTGACATTTTGATGTTTGAGCTCAGAGAGCAGGAGACACTGCTGGAGACAGGAGAGACCATCAATCCCCATTCTACAGTATCTTCCTATCCATACCCATCTCCCCATTGTCAGCCTCTGAACATCCTGAAAAAAAAGAGACAGGAGAGAGCATCAACCTCCATTCCAACTCCTCCTCCATACCCGTCTTCCCACTGTCAATTTTATGTACATCCCAGAAAATCCGGGAAAAGATTCTAGGACAGAACATCCAACCTCTATCCCAGCCATACTTGTCTCTCCACTGTCTGCCCCTGGACATCCTGGAAAATTAGGGAAAAGGAAACAGGAGAGGGTTCAATCTTCAGCTGCCGGACTTATTGGAAAAGGGGAACAAGAAACAGGAGAGAGCATCCCACCTTCATCCCAGGACACGCTGCTGTAGGCTGCACAGCTGTGACAGCTGGTCCGTGTGTCTGAGGGCAGCAGTCTGGCTCTGCAGTCTCTCTGTGCCTCGTCATCTGGATTCAGCCCAGCGCTCACCTCTCACTCAAGATTGTGATCGAGTAGGATTGCTGTTAAATTAATATAATAAGTCTTGTAATAGTATTAATGCTAATTAAACAATACTTCACCAGGCTCTAATATCAATGCTAGTAACTTTATAACAGTTCTCCTCTCTCACTAGTAGGGTTGTGTGTTCATGCCCTGAGTGTGACACAGGAGTGACAGGACTAACCTGACCTTGGTGTTGGACCTGGGTACAAGAGCATCAACAGCACACTGACCAGGATCTTGTGGGCAAGAGACAGCAGGAGGTCAGGACACAGCCCTGAGGGTCACCCCCTGATGCCCCGATAGGAGGAGTCCACTGGCTCTCCGCCTGAAGCTTGACAGCCAGTGAAGGAGAGACTCACCTGGTCTGCACTCACCTGCCTGGCGCCTCGTGCCCTTCAGTGCTGATGGGGTACCCTGTCCCCTCCTGTGCTGACCGGTCGAGAACACCCTCTGGACTTCTAACTGCAGGTCTGGGGGTGCCCTCTCCTGCGTGGTACAGGGTCTGACCTGGCTCCTGTTGGGAATAAACATGCCTGAAGGCAGCCTGTGCTCCACCGAGTCCTGACTGCTCTGGTCCAGAGCTGCTGTTCTGGTAACCCGTCCTGGAAAGACACAGGCGTGTTGTCCACAGGCTCTCTCCCCCTTCCTCACCTTGTTTGGGGGTTCTGACACCCCTGGGCTCCCCTTCATTGTTATGGCACCACTGGGCTCCTCTTCCTCCTTATTCTGATACCCCTGGGCTCCTCCTGGTCATCCTGAGTCTTCTGGGGGTCCAGGCGCTGGGGCTCCTCCCAGAGTCGAGGTCCAGGAGGAGTTTCTTCCTGTTGGCTTCTCCCAGATCTTCCAGACTCCTCAGGCCTGAGCCGGGCTGGGAGGAGGGAACCTTCCCCGAGATCCTGAAGTCCGACGTCCAGACGACACGACCGGAGAGATGGAGCCGATGGGGGAGGATGTGGGCGTCGGGGCTCCTGGTGTCCGACTGGGAGAGAGCTCCGATGTCGGAGTGTCTGTCCTCCCTCTTGACTTTTCCTCCTTCAGGATCCCACAGAGATCTCGGTTGAGTGTGTTCACGGTCACACAGGAATGTTCCTCGGCTTCAACTGGCTGGTACCCCACTCCTCCAGCTCCCACCTGGCTGGTACCCCACTCCTCTCACCATTCCAGTGAACACAGAGAGATCCACTGGTTTAGTGACTCACCATTCCAGTGAATATCCAGCACAGTAACTATGTAGTACAATAATTATTCACGAAATAAAGTGATGTTTTTTGTACAGCCATTGCTGAACACCCAGCGTAGTGAAGACCCAATAGTTATTCATAGTAGAGTGACTGGTTTAGTGTCCAACCATCACAGTGAAGATTCTGTGAAGCGAATATTTAATAAAATAATAAGCAAAGACACCAACGAGTGTAGTGACTTACCATTTCAGTGAACATCTTTTAAACCATTACTGTGAATTTCCAATACAGACAATTATCTATGACAGTGAATCTCCAGTACAGAGACTCAGTCACAGAGAATATTCATTACATTGCTTATCTGTTACAGTGAATACACAATACCAGTCACAGTGAATAATTGTAAGTAATTATCAATCACAACAAATACCAGTAATAGTGACTGGCCAGTTCAGTGAATATCTGTTACAGTGATTCACTATCACAGTGACCAGCCACTACAGTGAATAAGAGTGAATATTGAGGACAAAGACTGTTGTGACTAACCATTACAAATTACTATCCAGTAAACTGAATATCCAACACAAAATATTCAGGGAAAAGACTGCCTGGATTAGTGACTAACCATTAGAGAGAAAATCCAGGACAGTGAAGATGCAAAAAGAGATTCAGGAAAGAAGCTGGTTTAGTGACCTACCATACCAGTGAACCCCCAGCATAGTAAACAGGCCAATAAACTAATTATTCAGGAAGCAGACTGAAGAGACGGTCTGGTTTAGTGGTTAACACGTACAGAGAGTATCCAAGAAAGGGTGTCCTCGTTAATTCTCCGTCAGGTTTTCAGTTGTTTTGGTACAAAACTGTACTTCATTAAGCAACACCTGTAGTCTTCCGCTGAACTGTTCCAAAAGTCCATCTGTGTTTTCCAGGGAATCATGTGGCCTTGCGAGGAGAATTGGAGACAAACAATGATGAACTATTGACATATTCATACTTGGTCAGATATTAAGTTTAACATCATCGGCTCAAAATGGCTGGTGATGCTCAGGTCTACAACCACACTAAACCCGACAGTGAAGTAGCTGTCTCTGCTCTGCACCACGCGTCTCTGGACTGTACAGATACAGGTCCGGTGTGACTCTGCACCACGCGTCTCTGGACTGTACAGATACAGGTCCGGTGTGACTCTGCACCACGCGTCCCTGGACTGTATAGATACAGGTCAGGTGTGTCTCTGCACAACACGTCTCTGGACTGTACAGATACAGGTCCGGTGTGACTCTGCACCACGCGTCTCTGGACTGTACAGATACAGGACAGGTGTGTCTCTGCACCACCTGTCTCTGGACTGTATAGATACAGGTCCGGTGTGTCCCTGCACCACGCGTCCCTGGACTGTATAGATACAGGTCCGGTGTGTC